TTTTTATCATTTATTCTACTTTTATTTTACCATGAAAGCACCACATAGATTCAACAATGCAACATAATTCCAAACCTTGGCACGACAAATTAATTGAGGCTGCAGATGCTTTTAGAGAAAACCCGTGGCCCTAGGGGTCTGCTGGAGGGCAAACATGCCATCCTCCAGCCACGGGCAACAGAGTTAATGTGTTGACTAGACAACTGAGACTGAGCTGATCCTGAGGAATGCTATTTTATAAAATACACAGAGCAACTACTTTCCATTAGCAGTGAAATTCTTCTTTTTTATAAAGAAAGAAAACTGATTGAACTGTGCGGACACCTGGGTGTATAGCCAGAGGACATTTAATGTTTGAATCTACCAAGAGAGGGTTTGATGCAGTTTGCTGTTCAGGAGTCTGTTTTCATGCATGCAAACGATAATTTTATTGACTATGAAACAATAACCACAGTATTCAGATCAGAATCAGGTTAAATTGTTTAAGAAGTTCAATCTCTAATGCTGGTAAATTTAAATACCCTGAAACATTTAATCCCAGACCACCATACTATGATTATGACTTTAATCTTCTACATCTTCTCAGCCACATTTGTATTTTTGGTAACAGCTGGAATGATTGTTAAAAGGAAGAAAATGATTTGCCATAATTAGAATGATGAGGTGTTTTCTTCCACAGGAGATAAATTCCTTTTTGTGCTGCAGGTTTGTTTTTTTAAGAGGCATGAAAAACATTTTAAGCTAGCTTATTTAGCAGATGTGGGCCCGACTTATAGAGAAAATGTTGAAACAGGAGACGTTTCACAATGAGCAGGCACTAAAATGCTATCCCTACAGTCATGATCTTTAACAATGTTCTAACATAGTTTAGAAATAAATATATTGTGGAGGTAAAAAAAATGAAAAAATAAAAATGTCTGAAAACCTCCACCAAGAAGATGTTTAAGACCAAAATCAACTATTGGATCATTTGGTTGTCGGTCTGGCCAAACCGCTGCACTTCCCTGGGTCCTCCGTTTGCAACACGTTCATGTATTTAACATCAGAACACCACTGGTGTGAGAGGTTTTCCACTCAATAATATCAGAGAAGGAGCAACAGCAGCGCTACCACTTCAGTTTTAGGACAAACTACCAGAGTCCTAAAAGAAAACCACAGTTTGAAGTCACGGTCAAGAAAAGATGTTTGGACTCTGAGACAAATTATGCTAGCTATGAGGTTCGGTGGTGGGTCTTGAGAAGGATCTTGAATAATGCAACTGAATATGAAGTATGAAGAATAAAAAGCCTTGTAAATTAAAACAGCAGCAATGAAAATGGCAGAAGAATAAATAGCAACTGTGAGCACAAAGTAGTCCATCGTCTGCAGAGGAAACATGCAAACAGATCCTGATCCTTTAACAAAGTCAAAGGAACCAGTTGTCTAATTTGATCATGGGAATCTGCCTCATTGACCCTTGTTCATGCAAATCAAACATCTTATTCCAGATTTTTGCTTTAATGCTGTTATTTCTTTGCTAATTTCCACCCTAAATGTGTAATATTCCCAGAAACAATTTAGGCATGTGTCAGAAGATGTTGTAATGTATCTAATATAACAGGTTCTGCTTGGAGGGTGTCATGCCAGACTCACTTTGCTGCATCGTTTAGGAGACAGCCACAGAAGAATCTGTCACTCAGCAGCATATGCATTTTAGGTCAGGAGTTTGACTGACTGGAAGTGCTGCAATATTCTCCCTCATGACTATTTCCTTATTAAAATGTCACTGCACACATAAAAATAAGAAACGTGCGTTTATCACACACACAAACACACACTTATAAATACAGAGACTTGGATCCAGAGGTGAAATTTCCTCCTTAGCACATAACAGCAATGATGACTAAGTGAAAAAGGAGGAAATTTTATTAAGTTTGATGCAATGCCAACACCTTCTTAATCAGTTTTGGCATGAGAAATGATTATTTGTTCAGATTATTCAGAAGCATGAGCCACATTACTGAAAACCAAAAATGTGATTATGCAGGCAGAGATATCCAATTTCACTGAAATCTCTGCGCAAATATTACCTCTTCCCGGATTTCACCTCCACCGGTAGAAAGGCTACCCGGGATAATTGAGTCGTGAGTTTTTATCTGGAATTGTGAATATCGTCTTATGTGATCCTAATCACTCTACTTCCAAATAAAGTAGTATTTGATAGCTTCTAAAATAATACATTCTTGGAGATTATGTTCTCTCTTTGGGGAAAAAAAGCCATATTGATTGTTGTGAGCTTGACCACAAAGATGAAAATAATAGCATCTGGTGGGTTATCTAGACATCTGTTTTTGTGCAAAGTTGTGGTTGTTTGGTGGCACCAGATGTTGTGGTATTGTTCTGTCTGCTCTTCTGTCCTCTGAACAAAAACATCTCGTTTGCACCTTTTCGGCCCAGTTAAATTCACGGATCATTAACCCTTAAAGAGCGGGTACACCGAGAAATGTTTGTTTACGTATTATTTTTTAAAAACATCAGATATGCAGTTTACCATGCAGGCTGAAAATGGTGTTCTACCCCTATTTCCTGCGGTCAGTGACTTCACACTGTCGCCTGATCTTCATGGACTCACCCATCAGAAAGGGCTGTTGTTGGTGTAGCGTCCAGGAAACAGCAGATTAGAAGCTAATTGTTAGCATTAGCAACTCAACCACATAGCAAAAGTCCTCCATGCTTGTGACATTTGTTGAGATAAAACGTTGCAGAACTAACTGAGTCAGTGGTAGAGTCACGTCACTGTTGGTCAGTCAGAGGCAAGATGTCCAAATATCAGGAAGTGAATCTCCAAATCTCGCTGACATCTGCCACTTTCTCCTCCAGCTGTCTTCTACGTCCTTAAACAGAAGCATCTGAGCTTTTGCCTCCCAAAGTAAGACTGAAGCCTAGTTTGTTCTTCTCCATCTGCATTGGTATGGAGACATGCAAAGATCGTATCCGTCATCACAAGGGCTCTCCAACAGTAGTAAGTGAGAGTAGAGCCAACTTTTCTAAATATCCGTCGAAAGTGACGGCGACCGCAAGCCTGTGATTGGTCAGGATGCCGCTTCCTTTCATTTCGTCAACAGCACCACCATTCCCCCTTCAAAAAAAAACAATAATCAAACATGAAAGACGTGGAGCAGACTGAAGACAGTCTCATGGAAAAAGTCCGACAGTACAAACTTTAACACAGCCGTGATGGAAGGAGTCGAAAAATATGCAGCAAACATTTTAGTCCTGTCAGGAAATTACAGGAAATGTGAGTTTAGAGGTTGGGACTGGATGAAGAGGTGGAGGAAATCTCTGAATACACAAACATAATGGGTGTTTCTCAATGCCAAGAAACCTTGACTTGATGTCTTGGCCCCGCCCCGGTTGCCTAGGAGATACGTCATCGGGAGCCGCCAAGACGTGTTCCAATGTTCATGTTCTACCGAGGCGTGTGTTCTCCAATTTGTTGGCCATTTAGCTAGCTGAGCAAGTATACACGGGAGGTGTCCTGTAGCCTAGCTTTGGTCAAAAATTACCCAGAATACACAGCGGTATTTTCAAAAGGATGGTGGATCAGAAGCCGGTAGCTACTTCGGGGACAAATTTTAAGTTTAAATGCAAGTCTACTAATTAAAAAAGTTTTTTAGATCCAAAGAAGTTATCTTTTTGTTGGTTAGTTGCTTAGTAGTTGCAGCTTCGGTGGCTAGTGGGTAGTAACTCACTTATAATTTTAATTTAATAAATATATACACAATTTAAAAAGTAAAAGCCTTGTTATATATTTATATTGAAACTTCTACGTATAAAATATAACGTTTTCTCCTGTGTCACGTGACGTTACGTGACCGCCGTGGAAGCCACAAGTCTGTTTCATTTAACCGTTTTCTTTGACCAAGGAAGGACAGTATCCTCGTAAGCAAGGGGCCTGGCCTTGGACATTGAGAAACACCCAAAATAAACACACTGGAGACGTAACTGTGTTGATGGCAGGATACCCAAGAAAAGTGCTATGCCCTCTGCTGCCCTGGGGGAGAATTGCTTCACAACTGTCACACCATCAAAGTATTAAAGAAAATTGTCTCCATCAATGTGTGTGCGTGAGCACAAAGTTGCTGACAAGGAAGTGTAACTAGGCTTTACGAGGTATTCATTCCTACTAGAGACCACTTCAAATGTTTTAAAAATAAGAGAAATGTTTACCTTTAAACTTTCAGGTTGACTTCTGGGTAGAGCACATTTTAGTCCCACTCCCAATGGCTAAACTGGGGGAAAAAATAATAAACGATTTTTATAAACATGGGTGTGTTAATATTTCATTATGTAATCCTTCCTTTCTTATTATATTAATATTAACACACAACCAGCTAAGAAGAGTTTATGTAGCAATTCCTTCACAAGCTCAAAAAAACCTTTAAAAAGGATTGAAGAAGATAATTATAAAAAGTAAAATTGAAAAAAAAAAATTAATACAATTAGGATTCAAAAATAAGAATGAAAATGAAAAATGAAAGCAAGGGGACCCAAAAATACACAGAAATTATTGGAACACCAGCATGAATTAAAGCTAGTTGGTAAACGATGGATGAACTAGAAAGCCACCCTCATTATGGTATTAAATGAAAAAATGTGAAGAAAAAATGTATTGCTGTTTTCTTTGTGGTGACATAAAATGGTTCATTCCATCACATTAATTTTGTTTCCCCACACATTACTTTTAAAACATCTCATTCAGTGTTTCCTGTGTTGTCCAGTCTTATTTGTTCCATGCATCCACCACTTTTCCCTCCTCCAAACAGTTTGACGTCCTTGGGTTCACCCTCTCTGACGTGTCTGCTGCGCTGTAGGGACACAGGACCGTGCAGACAGGACAGGAAGAGGCAGCTTGTGCCCTGTGAAACCTGCCTGTTGATGTTTTCTGCTGCCCCTATCACCGAGTGATCTATTAATCACGCCTTCCTGTCTCCACTGCCCTTTCTGCTTTGTGTCTGCAGCTCGGGTGTGCGACAACACGATGCTTCGCTGTCAGAACGGCGGCACGTGCCACCACCATCAGCGGTGCCACTGTGCCCCCGGCTTCATGGGCGTCCTGTGTGAGAGAGCTCGCTGCCAGGGACCCGGAGAGTGCGATGACCAGCTGTCTGGACGGGCAGTGCTCCATCATTGCCCCATAGGTCACCATCTTTTCCTTTCCCTCGTAGTGATTTCAGTTGTTTCCCTTTGCTGAGAGACCAGAACCAAATCCTCCACTAAGACTGAACTTTCAACCTGTACGGAGATAAAAAACAAAACAAAAGAATGTGTAGACGATGCGCTCAGCGTGCAATATAGCAACTCTTTTGTACATCCGGAGCCACGGCGGTGCATGGGTGACAACAACATTACTGCAGGTTGTGCACTAATGCATCAAACTGAATGATATACAGATTTATAAAAAGACTTGATGAAGACACTGTTGTTTTGTAACTCCACAGAAACAAAACTAAACCTGTAAGGCACCCTTGCTTTGTGATAACGCCATTGTCAAATATTCCATCCAAGGGAAACTGGAGATTCTGCTCTGATTAGAGCAAACAGACTCATCGTTTCTAAGCATCATCTGCAGTTAGAGTAGAATAATGGACAGAATTTAAAACATCTTGCTTCACTGCCTCCTACCTTCTCTCCTGTTCTCTCCCCCTTTCCCTGTGCTTTAGTGAACCTGGTGATTTTACTTTGCTGAAGGGTGTCGGATGTTTTGCAAACTGCTGCACATGCAGCACTATCAACCTCTTTCCTTCCAAGGACCAGTCTAGTACCTTTTTGATTTACAGAGGCTTTGTAGTCTTGCTTGAGCTCACCTGTATCAGAAAAAAAAGAAAGTTGTAACATACTGTAACTGTATTTAATTTTGTATAAAACAGATATTTTCATGACTACGCTAAGGATAAAAAAGACAGATGTATTACTTGTTTTCTATTGCCGTGCCCTTCAGTAGACGTGGACAAGTAAGGATGTCGGTTGTGTTATTTCTCTTCCTTTGAGAGCTGCTTTCAGAAAATATGTTTACATACACACTCACACAATACACTTTCACCAAAGCGCAAAAGAAAATCATGTCTTTGTCTTGTTGTTGAGCAGTAATAACTTTACTAGGCAGTAACGCGACATTCGAGACAAGATGTACACCGTTTGTCGACAAGTGCAGGCAAACGGCAAGAGTTGAATGTCATTTTAAAGGCTTTTTAAAAGCGATGGGTTTCAGTCATTGACCATTTCACCGAAGCAGAGGTTGCTGATGATTATATATCGGCCTGTGCTGCAACACGTTGCTGCTGAGCTCGGGAAATGAAGGCGAAACGGAGGAATGTTGAGCCAAAATCCCATCAACCTTATGTAAATTTAACAAGAGGAGAAAAGAAGATTGCACGGCTGTCGCAGAGGTTGTCCATCTCAAATCTGTAATCCGATCCAGTCCTCCAATCAAATGGTAAGAGGGGAAGGTTTTCTGAACTGCCACGGCTGAAAGGCTGCATCCTGCTGTGGGAGCCACCACAAAACTGCACGTTCAGGAAATGAGCTTTAATTTATGGAGGGTCATTGAATAGAAATGAAGGTGCATCCCACTGGGCCACATATTGAGGACTGAGACCAATTTTATTTGAGAGATTAATTTTACTCGGGAGGTTGTCGTCAAACACCTAATTGTGCTGAAGTTTAATGTAAGTGCCTCTCATTAAAAGACACTGTCTACGATAGAACAGAAGTAGCCTTTTCTTGTGTCTGGGAGCCAGAAGATGGTTTTTGTGATTCATTCGTCTGTTGTTTAGAATTACTGGGAGGCGACGGATGTTATTTCTTGAGAACATATGACATTTCTGAAGGGGAAAAACAAAAGCTGCATGTGGCATAAATCAGAAAAAGAAATGAAGAAACTCTGAGACTGTTGAATTTATTTAGAAAATAAGTCAGCTACAAAAACATATTAGAAGAAAATAACAATGGCAAAAAGTTGCAAGATTTATTTATTTTGTTTTCAGTTTTTGTTGGGGGGGGGGAATTTGGTCAAATTGTCACAAAGTAGAATTTTTGAATTTTTTTTGTTGTTGAAGTGTTGACAAAAGAGTCAATATCATTTCCAGAATTAAGTCAAAATGTTGAGATTAATGTCAAAAATAATGAGAAAAAAGGTTTCATTTAAGACCACGGTAGGAAAAGAGTAGAATGCCTTCACCTTTTCAGGGATGAGGTCCTGCCTGCAGTGATGTGGGCATTGTACCGGTCTGTCGTGGTGAGGAGAGCTGAGCCGAAAGGCAAAGCTGTTGATTTACCGGTCGATCTATGCTCCTACCTTCACCTACGGTCACAATCTTTAGTAGAATGAAATCACGGATTCAAGGGCCGAAATAAGTTTTCTCTGCAGGATGTCTGGGCTGTCCCTCCCTCCCTCATCTGATCCGGGAGGGGCTTGGAGCAGATCCGCTGCTCCTCCACATCGAGAGGAGCCAGTTGAGGTGGCTAGGACATCTAGTTAGAATGCCTCCTGAACGCCTCCCTGGTGAGGTTTTCCAGGCACGTCCAACTGGGAGAAGACCTAGAGGAAGACCCAGGACACGCTGGAGGGACAATGTCTCTCGGCTGGTCAGGGAACATCTTGGGATTCCCCCAGAGGAGCTGGCCCAAGTGGCTGGGGAGATGGAAGTCTGGGCCTCCCTGCTGAGGCTGCTGCCCTCACGACCCGACCCCGGATAAAGGATGAAAATGGATGGTTTAAAATTTTTCTGTTTCTTGTGAAGCGCCTCCTGATTTTTATCTTGAGAGGCGCTTTAGAAAAAATCATTCTTCTTTTGATTTTTACAAAAAAATAAAAGTACTATTTCCTAAAAATAAAAAAAGACTGCTAATGTATTTTTGTGCTGGCTTATGGGTTAGGGTTAGGGTTAGGATAAGGGTTATATATACTTAATATATATGGGATTTTTGTTTCCCCTTGACACAATCTTAAATGTATATTTACTTCTGCAGCAGAAGAAAAAGAAATTACTTGAATCTAATTTGAGTGTCAAACAAAAGGTTTTCTCTCTGTTACCCCTTCCAAAAAACAAAGAACTTCGTTCATAAAATAAAACTTCTTTCAAGAAATAAATTGACTTTATATTGGAAACAAAGAATCTGTCGCCTTTTTTTTCTTTATTTCATTCTTTCTCAGTCGCTGCCCAGATTACCTTTGAGACATTTCCAATAAATACATAAGAGCATTTTTATAGAATAACAACAGAAACTACTATGTTTTCTTGTCAGTTTGCATAGAATGTTTTGCACATCATGGTTGTTGGGCATAAACCTTATTTTTCTTTTTTGTCTCTTTTGCAGCATAACTCATTTGGTCACACTTCACACCTGTTTGCTAATAAAATGTCTCAAAGAGGAGTTCTGATTTAATCTTGGAACTTCATAAGATGTCATAAAGGGGTTAGGGTGGGTTAAGGTTAGGAATTATGAAAACTAAAACAGTGGTTTAATTTAAATAAATAGTCCCTAATTCTGGAGTTAACTTATTTTTTGTTATTTGGTCCAAGAGGAGTAGATGTTTACCTTGAAAAGGTGCGGGAAACTATGTTTTTAGGGGTCGTTATTGATGAAAAGATTACACGAAACCTCCTAACCCTATACTGCATAAAGTAAAGGATTTTCTCAATAAAAAGGCATTATACCTATTATATAGTTCACTGATTGTTCCATATATGACTTACTGCATTGAAATTTGGGGTACTTGGGGTAGGCTGAGGTGAGCATGCGCTGATGCTGAGGGCCGAGCACCGGATACACGGCAGCGTTTGAAGCAGATGGCAGCTCGTTAACAAACATCCACACTTAAGACGCATTTTCACCAAATTTATCTACTGACAACTCAAAAAATTATCTAGTAATTATAACTCACTCAACCTGGAGGTAAGTGAAGAAAATTTAGAAAGTTTACAAAACTATATTGACAGAGTTTTTGAGTTTTTCGTTAGGGGTCCGAAGAAATCAGCAGCTGAGCCCGAAACAACTGGGACCAAGAGAAGCCGTCCTCAGGACTTGCCTGAGGCCTCATCTCCCCGTAAGGACATATTAGAATTAGTGGATTCTATAGATAAACGGCTTCTGGGATTTGAGGGGCGACTTCATCTGCTTGAGGTTCTACACCAGGAGTTTCAGAACCTCCATCAGTCTCTGGAGTTCTGCCAGGAGCAGGTGGAGCAGCTCGCCGCTGAGAACGCATCTCTGCGGGAGTCCGTTTCTTCCCTGGAAGAAAGAATGATGCGGATCACCCAGGACAACAAGATTCTGAAAGAGACGGTTTTGGACCTTCAGGCCCGTAGCATGAGGGATAATTTGGTGTTCGCAGGCCTGCCGGAGCAGGCGGGAGGGGCGGAGAACTGCGAGCAAACGATTAAAAAACTTTCTCCAGACCCAAATGAAGATACCCAAAGAAACGGTAAAAAACATCACCTTTCACCTGGTACATCGCCTTGGAGCTAGACGAGTGGACAGCAGAAGGACCTCGTCCCATTGTGGCTACATTTAAACATTTTAAGCAGAAGGATCTTGTTAAAAGTCACGGAAGAGAGGTCAAAGGGAAAGACTTCAGCGTAAATGACCAGTTCCCTAAGGAAATCCTGGATCGGCGCTGAGTCCTCTTTCCGCTGCGCAAAAAGTCTATCCAGGATGGGAAAAGGGCTGTCATCTCGGTGGATAAGCTTTACGTGGACAATAAATTTTACAAGGAGCGAGGAGTGACAGACTGGCTGTATTAACCCAACATCAGGTCAGACATTTACTATTGTTATCAGGATTCACTGGGTTTGATCACGTCGGGATTAAACAGCTGCTAAATCCGTTTTCTATATGATGAGATCACCTGTTCATCACCACCTCACACCCCTATCACCTATTCTTTTTAGTTCTTTCTTCCTTTTTAACCTGTATCTGTATTTTCCTTTCCTCTTTACCTGCTTCTGTACCTTCACACCTGTATGGCATAACCACACAACTTTCCAACACTGCGTCAGACTCGGCACACACACACACACACACACACACACACATACACAAATATATATATATAAAATCCACAGCACAATATCATAATTTATGCGTCAAATAATACAACCATAAACACTGTTGGATCTTTATTATTATTATTATTATTATTATTATTATTTACTTTTCTGTTATTTATTAACATACTATTTTATGTATTTAGATACTTATTCCATCTTATTCACATGAAGGCGTCATATTTTAGTTACTAACACACACACACATCTATGGGTGCACTAAAGTTTGTCTCATGGAACGTACATGGAACTGGCTCCATAGAGAAAAGATTAAAGATTTTTGATCAGCTAAAGAGAGTGCATGCAGACGTAATATTATTACAAGAGACTCATAGATCTGCCACATCCGCAGATGAACTTAAAACACCTGAGTTTCCCAGCATGTTCTCTGCCTGCTATAACTCTAGGCAAAGAGGTGTAGCTATTTTGATACACAAAAACATCAATTTCACAGTATTGGACACAATCTCTGATCCAGAGGGTAAATTTATAATGTTAAAAATATCTGTACAGAATCAAAGCTTATGTATTGTCAGCATATACTGTCCAAATATTGATGACCCTTCATTCTTTCATAATTTTTTCTCTGTACTCTCCGAACACTTGGACTGTCCACATATACTTGGAGGCGATTTAAATTTTTGGATAAACTCTTTAACAGACAGGCTCAGTACAGCTGGGACCCAGCGCATTTTGGCAATCCACCAATATAGTTAAACAGTACATGAGTGATTATGGGCTTTGTGATGCATGGCGATCTCTTCATCCTAACCGTAGAGAATATACTTTTTTTTCACACGTCCATCACTCTCATTCACGTTTGGATTATTTTCTAGTCAGCAGCTCATTGTTGGCTGGCATTTCAGACACTGAGATACACCCCATAGTTGTCAGCGACCATGCTCCGATTTCTTTAACTCTGGTAAACAAGAAGACAATCCTACCAAGCAAAAACTGGAGGTTTAATACATCACTGCTTAAAGATGAAGGTTTATAGATTTTTTTAAAAAAGGAGTGGGCTTTATATTTAGAACAAAATGACCTGCCTGGAACATCAGCATCAGTTCTCTGGGAGGCAGGAAAGGTAGTGATGAGAGGTAAAATAATCTCTTTCTCATCACATAAGAAAAAAACTGAAAACAAACGTATTCAGGAGTTAGAGGAAATCATTAAGTCTTTAGAGGCATTCACAGAAGAAGAGTTAATGAGCAAATTACGTAAAGCTAAATTAGAACTTCATGGAATTATTGACAAAAGGACACAATTTTTAGCACAGACTACAAATAGAAAACTTTGAACATAGTAATAAATCAGGTAAATTTTTTGCTAGCCAATTAAGAATAAATAAAGAGAAAACTACCAAATCTGCTGTTAAAGACTCAACCGAGAATATAGTTTATGACCCTGAAAGCATAAACAACACTTTCAGAGACTTTTACCAAACTTTGTACTCACCACAGATAAACCCATCAGATAACGAGATCAATGAGTTCCTTGACAGGATAACACTTCCTAACTTATCAGACAGCCAACTTACAGTCCTGGACTCGCCACTAACATCAGCGGAGCTCCAGGAAGCCCTTAAATCCATGACTAATAGGAAAGCTCCAGGTCCAGACGGGTTTCCAGCAGAGTTCTACAAAGAATTCTGGATCATTCTGGC